AAAAAAAAAAAAAAAAAAAAAAAAAAGAATGTGTTTCCTCGAGGAAGGAGCAAGCAATTGGCCAAATTCTACAAGTAGTCAAGTAAGCTTAGAAATAACAGTTCAGGCCAGATGCTGTGACTCATGCCTGTAATTCCAGCACTTTGTGAGGCAGAAGCAGGAGGATCGCTTGAGACCTGGAGTTTGAGACCAGCCTGGGCAACATAGAAAGACCCTGTCTATATAAAAAATAAAAAATTTGGCAGGGCATGGTGGCACAAGCCTGTGGCCCCAGCTACTTGGGAGGCGGAGGCAGGAGGATCTCCTGAGCCCAGGAGTTTGAGGCTGCAGTGAACTGGGATCCCATCACTGCACCCCAGCCTGGATAACAGAGCAAGATTCTGTGCCAAAAAAGAGAAAAGAAATAGCAGTTTCATATTAGATAGGGTGGGTAATGTGGATGTCATTGATAATCTGGAAAAAAAAGCAGTTTCAGCAAGGCAGTAAGAGCAAAAGCCCGATAAACATGGATTTAAGACAGAATGCGGCCAGGTGCAGTGGCTCACGGCTGTAATCCCAGCACTTTGGGATGCCGAGGTGGGTGGATCACTTGAAGTAAGGAGTTTGAGACCAGCCTGTCCAACATGGTGAAACTGTATCTACTAAAAGTACAAAAAAGATTAGCCAGGCAAGGCAGCGCATGCCTATAATCCCAGCTATTTGGGAGGCTGAGGCAGGAGAATCGCTTGAACCAGGGAGGCAGAGGTTGGAGTGAGCCAAGATCCTGCCACTGTACTCCAGCCTAGGGAACAAGAGCAAAACTCCATCTCCAAAAATAAATAAATAAGAAAATAAAAGAATTAGAACACTCTTGAGTTTTGCTGTGGGGTGAGAGGAGAAGAGATATGGAATAATAGCTGCAGAGAGTAGAAGCTGAGGGAGTGTTTGTATGCTTAATACATAGAGTACTAAGTAAAAAGAAAAAAAACTGAAAATGGAAATAATTGAATTGCTGGAATGATGACCTTGAGCAGGTGTTTTTAAGGAAGTAGAAAGTTTGTCTCTGCATGAGCTGAGACAGTTTAATTTATAGTAACAGGAAAGGAAGGCAAAATATGTGGCTACAGATGCTGGTAGGTGGGGAGATGTCATTGTAGAGGAAGTCCTCCCTTCCTCTTTCCTTCTTTCCAGATGGGTCTCTTTCTAGCCATGCTGGAATGCAGTGGCAAGATTGCAGCTCACTGTAACCTCCAACTCCTGGGCTCAAGCAATCCTCCTATAGCTGAGACTACAGAGGCACACCAGTACACCTTGCTAATTTTTTTAAAATTTTATTAGAGATGGGGGTATGTTGCCCAGGCTGGTCTTGAACTCCTGGCCTCAAGCCACCCTTCCATCTCGGCCTCTGATTGTTTTTTCTAAATGAAGAAGCAAGCTGAGAGTGAGGATGAGGGAGGAGGCAATGAAAGTTACAGGAGTTATGAAATAAATACACATTCAGAACAGTTTAAGTGGAAAGAGCAAATACAATGTGTTTGCTGGGCAGCATTATGGGCCCACTCAAGGTTCACGGTCCTGATGGAGTTACAGGGAGGCATGTCAGTATGGGTGTATAGCTTTCTTTTTTTATTTTTTTTGAGACGGAGTTTCGATCGTTGCCCAGGCTGAAGTGCAACAGCACTATATCCGCTCACTGCAACCTCTGCCTCCCACGTTCAAGCGATTCTCCTGCCTCTGCCTCCCAACTTAGCTGGGATTATAGGCGCACGCCATCACGCCCAGCTAATTTTTCTATTTTTAGTAGAGACGGGGTCTCACCACGTTGTTCAGGCTGGTCTCGAACTCCAGACCTCAAGTGATCCGCCCGCCTCGCTCTCTCCAAATGTTGGGATTACAGGCGTGAGCCACCACGCCCGGCCCGGGTGTTTAGATTTCCTCATGTTCAGCTGCAGATTTGAATGTATTCGAAGTTGTAGTTTTTACCAAAGTAGAAGAGTTAGGCAATGAAGTAATTTAACGGTATTCAGGACAAGAAAGAAACACCAAAGAAGTGAGGGACAGTGAAGAGCCTGTAGAACAATGGTTTCCAGGTAGAATGAGGAGACCGCACTGCCAAAGTTGGTGTCCCAGAGGAAGTGAAGAGGATAAAGAATGATGGTCCGAACCAGATAAATGAAACAGAGAATGACAGACAGGAAATGGTTGTGGTCACTGGTAATAACAAGGTAATAGAAGTGCTTAACAAGCGTTGGCTCTCATTAAGGAACAAAACCTTTCCCCCTGGAGATTAGCATTTTCCTCGATATTGAGCATCTACTCCCACAACATCTTCTAACCAGTGAGGACTATGGGCCCTTACTGTATTGACAGCCAAGTGCGAGATCGCGGGTTGAATGAATGACAAATGCCTTTCACGTATCCAAGTGAGTAGCACTCAGGAAACCTCAGCAGGTGGCAGCATCAAGGTTTAACTAACACATTACGCTTCATTATACAGGAATATACGAATACAGTCTCTTGGTCGGGGAAAAAGGCCAAAACCAAAGGCCTTTCCCTCACTACCCCTTCCTCACTCCGCTATCCCAAGTGTCGCCGCTGAAGAGTGAAGGGAGGATCCGGCAGAGATTTACTAACGGACATCCTAACCAAGGGAGAGGTGACCAAGAACGCGGGATCCGGCCTTGCCTCTTCGGATCTCGCCCCTCCTGGGAGACTCGACCCGCGTTTTTGAAACCGAAACAAACCTGGCCCCGCCCCCTGCCCTGAGGCCACCGAGAAAAGAGCACCGCCCTCTGGAGGCATCCTAGCCGGCCACTCGAAGGTTCCCACAGATAGAGTCGGCCTCCCCGGCACCCTTCTCTTCTGGCTTCCTCGCTGCCCACCCTCATTCTCCGAGTGGAAGCACTGCAACGAAAGGCCGGAGCGGTCTTTCTGCTCGCGAGCTGCTTCACCTGCTCGCAGTTCCGCCCGCCCCGCCCCCGGAAGTGACGGCAGCCGCGGGGACCTCCCTTTGTCCCGTCGGGCATCGCGGCGACGGCGGGAAGATGGCGGCGGCGGGTTCCCTGGATCGGAGCTTCGTGGAGCTAAGCGGAGCAGAGCGCGAAAGGCCGAGGCACTTTCGGGAATTCACAGTCTGCAGCATTGGTACGGGAGTAGCCAGGAAGGGCGCGATCCGATCTGTCCCCTCGGGCCGCCCTCATGGGTCCCAGGATCTCTGACTCCCTGGTTCATCCTCCTGAGTCCACATGCCTCTAGCCCCGGGATCAGAGATTCCTTGGCATCTGATGTTTTCCTCTTCTTCGTATGGGTTGTCAGTCTGTCACCCTCTGCCTTGTCAGCTCCCTTAGTCCCTGTCATTTCTCGGAGGACGCGTGTGCAGTCTGACCACGTTCATTTTGCAGGGACTGCAAATGCTGTGGCTGGCGCCTCAAAATACAGTGAGAGCGCGGGAGGCTTTTACTATGGGGAGAGTGGCAAGTTGTTCTCCGTCACCAGAAACAGGTTCATTCATTGGTAAGTACTGTGGTTCGCCAGACTCCCCTGGAAAGGTAGGGTTTGGTGTATAAATTTTCGTCGCTGTTCCCAAAGTGTCATTTTAGAAGTGGTAATTGACATTTAGGGAAAGAGAAAGGTTGTTTTTTCAGTTCATATGAGAATCAGGGGACAACTGAGACACAGAGTTCTAGAAGAGGTAACCCCCGCCCCCCCCCACACACATATCAAACATCAAACAACACTATAAGCAGAGGAAATGTAGCTTAGGGGATAAAGCCCATAAGACCGGCTTTAAACATGAACCCATTGTGTTTTTATAGTGATTTACAGCTTTCTTCATTGTACGTATATGTTTGAGCTTCAATATGTCAGGCATTGTGCTGGTACCAGGATGAAATGAACAAAAACAACCACCATTTTCATCATGCAAGAAGTTGCAGCAGTGTCAGAATAGATATGGAAGTTTTGTGGAGGAAAAAGACATTAAAACTAATGACCACAACACAGGTATATAAACACAAGTTTTCATACTTGCCCTAGAGGAAAAATATCGGGCTTTGAGAGGCTGAGAGGACCAAATGAAATTAGTGGGCAGGGAAAGACTTTAAGGAATTCACAGTTACCCTGAGATCTGAAGGACACGAGGTTAGCCAGGCAAGGGGAGTGGACAGAGAGCAGTCCGGCAAGTAGGATCACCATATGCAAAGGTCATAAGTGGGGAGAATTTGGCAGATTTGGAACTGACCAAAGATCTGTGTGGCTTAAGTGCAGTGGGTAGAACAGAAAGTGATGTGAGATACTGAGGTTGGAGAGGGAGGCAGGACTCTGATTATAGGGACCCTTAGGCCATTTTTAAGGATTTTTGGATTTTATCCTAAGTACATTGAGTTATCATTGAAAGGTTTTTAAAGAGTAACATCAAAATTGCGTTTTTGGATGGGAAGAGTTAACACTGGGGATTCCAAAAGGAGAGAGGGAGGGAAGCAAGGGTTGGAAAACCTATTGTGTACTGTGTTCAAAGCTTGCGCAGTGGGATCATTAGAAGCCCAAACCTTGGGCTGGGTGCGGTGGCTCACGCCTGTAATCCCAGCACTTTGGGAGGCTGAAGCGGGTGGATCACGAGGTCAAGAGATCAAGACCATCCTGGTCAACATGGTGAAACCCTGTCTCTACTAAAAATACCAAAAATTAGCTGGGCATGGTGGCACATGCCTGTAATCCCAGTGCTTTGGGAGGCCGAGGCGGGTGGATCACGAGGTCAAGAGATCGAGACCATCCTGGTCAACATGGTGAAACCCCGTCTCTACTAAAAATACAAAAAAAAATTAGCTGGGCATGGTGGCGCGTGCCTGTAATCCCAGCGACTCAGGAGGCTGGGGCAGGAGAATTGCCTGAACCCAGGAGGCGGAGGTTGCGGTGAGCCGAGATCGCGCCATTGCACTCCAGCCTGGGTAACAAGAGCGAAACTCCGTCTCAAAAAAAAAAAAAAAAGAAAGAAAAAGAAAAAAGAAAAAGGAGAGAGCAAGGACAACTCCCTGGTGTCTGATGTGACTAACCAGATATGAGTGGGGAGAGGTTGCCATTTACAGAGATAACATAGAAGATGGATTTTGGAAAGATATGAATAATTGTATCAGAAATAGTAAATCTGAAGTACCTGGGCAGCAGCCCTTTGAAGATGTCAAGTAAGCCTTGAAATTTGTAGGTCTGAGGCTCAAAAGAGAGGCTTATGTTAGAGATACAAATTTCGTTTACTTAAGAACTATTTTGGCTGGGCACAGTGACTCACACCTGTAATCACAGCACTTTGGGGGACTGAGGTGGGGGGATCTCTTGAGGCCAGGAGTTCAAGACCCCATTTCTACAAAAAAAAAAAGTTTTGGTGTTTTGGGTTTTTTTGTTTGTTTGTTTTTGATAAACAGTCTGGTTCCATTGCCCAGGCTGGAGTACAGTGGTGCAGTCACAGCTCACTGCAACCTTTACTCCTGGGTTCAAGTGACCCACCTCAGCCCCCCAAGTAGCTGGAATTACAGGTCTGCACCACCACGCCCAGCCAATTTTTGTATTTGTTTTTTTAGAGATGGGGTTTTGCCTTGTTGCCTGGGCTGATCTCAAACTGCTGGACCCCTTCTTGGTCTCCCAACTTGCTGGGATTACGGGAGTGAGCCACCATGTCATTTGATTTTTTAAAAATAAGCCAGGCAGGCCGGGCGCGGTGGCTCAAGCCTGTAATCCCAGCACTTTGGGAGGCCGAGGCGGGTGGATCACAAGGTCAAGAGATCGAGACCATCCTGGTCAACATGGTGAAACCCCGTCTCTACTAAAAATACAAAAAAATTAGCTGGGCATGGTGGCGCATGCCTGTAATCCCAGCTACTCAGGAGGCTGAGGCAGGAGAATTGCCTGAACCCAGGAGGCGGAGGTTGCAGTGAGCCAAGATTGTGCCATTGCACTCCAGCCTGGGTAACAAGAGCGAAACTCCATCTCAAAAAAAATAAATAAATAAAAATAAAATAAATAAATAAATAAATAAAAATAAGCCAGGCAGCGTGGCATGTGCCTTTCATCTTAACTACTCGGGAGGCTGAGGTGGGAGGATCTGATCATGCTACTACACTGCAGCTTGGGCAACAGGGTGAGACCCCATCTCTTTAAAAAAAAAAAAGAAAGAAAGAAAATTTGCTTGCCTATTATGTTTCAGTCAATTTTTAGGGAATAGGGATAAAGCAGGGAACAAAACAAAGTCCCTGCTTTCATGGAGGAAGATAGGCAACAACAATAATAACCAAAAAAACCTAAGTACATGTAGTTTTGTTACGGGAAAAGGGTCCTGATCCAGACCCCAAGGGAGGGTTCTTGGATCTCGAACAAGAAAGAATTCAGGGTGAGTCTGCAGTGCAAAGTGAAAGCAAATTTTTTTTTTTTTTTTTTTTTTTTTTTTTTGAGACGGAGTTTCGCTCTTGTTTCCCAGGCTGGAGTGCAATGGCGCGATCTCGGCTCACCGCAACCTCCACCTCCTGGGTTCAGGCAATTCTCCTGCCCCAGCCTCCTGAGTCGCTGGGATTACAGGCACGCGCCACCATGCCCAGCTAATTTTTTGTAGTTTTAGTAGAGACGGGGTTTCACCATGTTGACCAGGATGGTCTCGATCTCTTGACCTCGTGATCCACCCGCCTCGGCCTCCCACAGTGCTGGGATTACAGGCTTGAGCCACCGCGCCCGGCAGTGAAAGCAAATTTATTAAGAAAGTAAAGGAGGTGGAGCATGGTGGCTCATGCCTGTAATCCTAGCACTTTAGGAGGCCCAGGCAGGTGGATCACCTGAGGTCAAGAGTTTGACACCAGCCTGACCGGTATGGTGAAACCCTGTCTCTATTAAAAATACAAAATTAGCTGGGCATGGTGGCACATGCCTGTAATCCCAGCTCCTTGGGAGGCTGAGGCAGGAGAATAGCTTGAACCCAGGAGGCGGAGGTTGCAGTGAGATGAGATCGCCTCATTGCGCCCCAGCCTGGGCAAACAAGAGTGAAGCTCCATCTCAGAAAAAAAAAAAAAAAAAAAAAAAAGGAATAAACTACTTTACAGAGCAGCCCTAGAAGGCTTCTGGTTGCCCATTTTTATGGTTATTTCCTGATGATATACTAAACAGGGGTGGATAATTTATCCCTCTGTTTTTTAGGCCATATAGGGTAACTTCTTGACGTTGCCATGACATTTGTAAACTGTCATGGCATTGGTGGGAGTGTAGCAGTGAGGACAATAGGCGGTGACTCTTGTCGCAATTTTGGTTTTGGCCGGCTCTTTTACTGCAACCCTGTTTTATCAGCAGGGTCTTTGTGACCTGTATTTTGTGCTGACCTCCTATTGCATCCTGTGGCTTAGAATGCGTTGCCTGTCTAGGAATGCAGCCCAGTGGGTTTCAGTCTAATTTTACCCAGCTCCTATTCAAGATGGAGTCGTTCTGATTCACATGCCTCTGACAGTTTGTCAGTTGATAAATGGAATAGGGAAAAGGGGACAGCATAAGGGGGAAGAGGAATGCCTGTGGGAGTTATGTTTTATGTAGGGTGGTTGGGCAGGAGCCAGGGTAAGTTGACATTTGAGCAGAAGAAAGGATATCTGGGGAATGAGTATTTCAGGTAGAACCTTTCAAGAAAAAGGAATAAAGAGCGCAAAGAACCCTGAGACAGGAGCGTGTTGTGTTCAAAGAGTGGAAAGGAGCCAGGAGTCTGCAGCTGAGTGAACAAAGCGTAGAATAATAAGAAAGAGGTAGCTGAGGGCCAGATAAGGGCTTTGTTGGTTATTTTAAGCTTTGGCTTTTACTCTGAGTAAGATGGAAACAAGCTGTGGAAGGTTCAAGTGGAGGAATGACATGTTCGGTTTTTTTTTTTTGAGACAGAGTTTTGTATTGCCCAGGCTGGAGTGCAGTGGCGTGATCTCTGTCACCACAACTTCTGCCTCCCAAGTTCAAGTAATTCTCCTGCCTCAGCCTCCCAAGTAGCTGGGATACAGGCATGCACCACCACGACCAGCTAATTTTGTATTTTTAGTAGAGATGAGGTTTCTCCATGTTGGTCAGGCTGGTCTCCAACTCCTGACCTCAGGTGATCCACCTGCCTCAGCCTCCCAAAATGCTGGGATTACAGGTATGCACCACTGCACCTGGCCTAAGATCTGGGTTTCTAAAGGATTGCTGTGACTGCTATGTTGAGAATGGAGTGGGGGGGGGGAAGGGTGGATGCAGGAGACCAATTAGGAGGCTGGTGCTACAATCCAGACAAGAGATGATGGTGGTTTAGCTCAGGGTGGTAGTGACAGAGGCAGTGAGAAATGTTCTGATTGCAGTTTTGTTTTCAAGATGAATTTGTTAGAATTACTATTGCATTGGATGGAGAGTATACAGAAAGAAAAGAGTCAGGTAAGCCCCAGATTTTTGGCTCGAGCAGTTGAAAGTTATGGAGATGTCATTAATTGAAATGGAAAAAACTGTAGGTGAAGCAGGTATTTTTGTTTGTTTGTTTTCTTCAGGTTCAGTGGGTCCAGGAGTTCTGTTTTTGAGAGGTGTAATCTGAGATGCCTGTTAGATATCCAAGTGAGTGTTGAAGCAGTAGTCAGGAGTTGAGTGGAGAAGTTGTGCTAAAGATAAAGATTGCAAACTTTTGGCATTAGATGGTGCTTAAAGCTGTTCTACTGAATGAGATCACCTGCAAAGTGAGAATAAATTAGGATTTTCCACTTCTGCACTATTATTGTCAGCTAAGTCTTCATTGTGGGGGGCTGTCCTGTATGCTGTAGGGTGTTAAACAGCATTCCTGCCCTCTACCCTCTGCATACCAATAGTACATCTGTACCCCCACTTCTACACCAGTTATGATAACCAAAAATATCTCTAGATATTATTTAATATCCTGGGGAGTAAGGCAGAATCGTCCCCAGTTGAGAGCCACTTGAGTAGAGTGGTCTGGGACTGAACCCTGGGGCAAGCCAACGTTTAGAATAATGAGGAACCGGCAAGGAGCTCAAGAAGGAGTAACTGAAGTGAGTGTTGAACAAAGAATGTGGCATCCCAGAAGCTAAGGGAAATACTTCAAGGAGGAGGGGAGGAGGAGGGTGAAAAACTTGTCGATGTTGCATTTAAGCCAGGCAAATTGAGAAATGAAAATTGGCCTTTGCATCATGGAGATAATTGGTGACCAGGTCGGGAATTGCCGCAGTAGTCGTACAAAAGCCTCGGTGGAGTGGGTTCAAGAGAGGAAGGAGAGTTGTGAGTATAGAACAGCTCTTTCAAGGCATATTGCTTTAAGGGAAGTGCAGAAATCACATGGTAGCTGGAGAGCAAGGGAGGAACATGGAGAAAATATAATAATATAGTCTGTATGCAGTTGGGAATGCAGTAGATACAGTTGAGAGTAATCACCAAAGGAAAGGAATTTGGGAAATTGAGAAGGTGGAGTATTAGGATAATTGGATATTGTTTGTTCATTTATTTGCTCTTTTTTAGAGTCAAAGTTTCACTCTCACCCAAGCTGGAGTACAATAGCACAGTCATGGCTTACTGCAACCTTGAACTCCTAGCTCCCATCTCAGCTTCCCAAGTGGCTAGGATTACAGGCAGGCATCACCATGCCTGGCTAATTTTTTTTATTTTAGAGAGAAGTTCTTGCTATGTTGCCCAGGCTCATCTCGTACTCCTGGGCTGAAGAAATCCTTCTGTCTTGGCCTCCCAGGATGCTGGAATTATAGGCATGAGCCCCTGTACCTGGCCCTGATATTGAAATCATTAAGAATTATGGCAAGAGTAGTGTGGGAGAGAGTGACAGTGGACCACGAGCCAAAATCAACTGCAGTGAGCATGGGTAGCAGGTGGTATCTGATTCCATGAGCTTCATAGCTGAGTGGCTCAGGTAGGAGAGGAGGAACAGTGGCCTAGAAAGCCAGTGGGGAGCAAGGACATCTGTATTTTTTCCTTGAGGCCCCACTACAAAGGCCGTGGTAGAGAAAACTCTGGGGTCACTGTCCTCATGGGAGATCCAGGATCCAAATTTTACCATAAGGCAGGAAAGCAAAGGAATTATTCAGAGATGAAGTTGAAGATCCAGAAAATTATGCTGATGCCATGAGTTACCGGAAGCAATGTAGCTCTGGGAAATCATCAGAACTGAAAAGGTACTTACATCCTTGGGAGTAGACAAGATGTGCCTTGGGAGAAAGTGTACAGTGAGAGAAGATGATCCAGGATCAAGGTTTGAGGAAATCTAGTGTTTAGGGGTTAGGTCAAGGAGAAGGGGAAGAAATGGACAGCAATGTGGGAGGAAAACTGGGAGAGGGTAGTACCGCAGGATTCTTGAGAAGAGATTGTTTTAAAAAGAAAGGCTTCTGTAGTGTGGAGGGAAAAAAAAGAATAAAAAATAAAAAGGAAGGCAAGATCAAGTATGTGGAATGCTGCTGAGAGATCAAGTAAGAGGCCCAGGCACTGTGGCTCATGCCTGTAATCCCAGCACTTTGGGAGGCTTAGGCGGTTGGATCACCTGAGGTCAGGAGTTTGAGACCAGCCAGGCCAACATGGTGAAACGCTGTCTCTACTAAAAATGCAAAAATTAGCCAGGCATAGTGGCAAGTGCCTGTAGTCCCAGCTACTCAGGATGCTGAGGCAAGAGAATCGTTTGAACCCTGGAGGCAGAGGTTGCAGTGAGCTGAGATCACTCCATTGCACTCCAGCCTGGGCAACAAAAGCGAAACTCCATCTCAAAAAAAAAAAGATCAAGTAAGAGAAAGACTGAAGAGTCCATTGGAAATATCAATATCTTTGATAGTCCAATATCAAAGTTGATATTGGACTATCAAAGTCCAATATCTTTGACTTTGATAGTCCAATATCAAAGTCAATCTGATATTGACTTTGACAAGAAGAGGGTGTGGCAGAGGCAAAAGCCAGATTTAGTAGGCTTAAGAGTAGGAGGGATGTGAGGAAATAGAGAAAGCTTGGCCATGAAGGGGAATGGAGAGGATGGATAACTGGATTGTGAGTGAGGGGAGGCCAGGAAACAGCTTATTTGAATGATGATGGAAGGCCCTGGAAGCAGGAGAGGCGGATACAGGAGAAATATGCAGAGAAAGCCAGAAGTTGGCCTTTAGTTGCTGGAAGGAGCCTTCTTTTTTGGAGAGGATGCAGGTAATATGGTAGATACAGCAATGGGAAGTTAAGGCACTCCCAGCAATGCTGCGTGCTAGTTCCAGACCTACACCCAGCAGAGTTGCACCTGAAGAAGGTTACCTGCATCCCAGCACACTTCTGGCTTTGTTTAAGCACAGTATGTATTGTCATTTCTTCTTCAGGCATGTGATATACCGTGAGTTATTTTCTGTCACTTTGAAGCTCTTTTTTTAAGGATTGATAGATTTTTAAAAATTTTTAACAAAATGTCCTTTTTTTCTGGTTCTGCTTTAAACTGTGTTTTCCACTGGCTGTGTATTCCTTAACAAGATCTGATAAATCTTTTTTTTTTTTTTTTTTTTTTTTTTTGGAGACAGAGTTTCGCTCTTGTTACCCAGGCTGGAGTGCAATGGCGCAATCTCGGCTCACCGCAACCTCCGCCTCCCGGGTTCAGGCAATTCTCCTGCCTCAGCCTCCTGAGTAGCTGGGATTACAGGCACACACCACCATGCCCAGCTAATTTTTTTTGTATTTTTAGTAGAGACGGGGTTTCACCATGTTGACCAGGATGGTCTCGATCTCTTGACCTCGTGATCCACCCGCCTCGGCCTCCCAAAGTGCTGGGATTACAGGCTTGAGCCACCGTGCCCGGCCTAGATCTGATAAATCTTAAAACTCTTTTATCTAGGCCGGTGGCTCACACCTATAATCCCAGCACTTTGGGAGGCTGAGGCAGGCGGATCATGAGGTCAGACGTTTGAGACCAGCCTAGTCTCATATATTTCAATGCAATAGTCAGTGAGAAAGAAAAGCATAAAGTTTTCAAACAAATGTCTCTTTTTTTTAACAGGAAGACCTCTGGAGATACATTGGAGCTGGTGGAGGAGTCACTGGACGTAAATCTGTTGAATAATGCTGTTCGCCTAAAATTCCAAAATTGCAATGTCTTACCTGGAGGGGTTTATGTCTCTGAGACTCAGAATCATGTGATAATCTTGATTTTAACCAATCAAACAGTGCACAGGTTACTTTTACCACACCCTTCCCGGATGTATAGGAGTGTAAGTTGGCTAAGTACAATATCTTTTATTTCCCAAATTACTCTGGGTGTCACAAATTGAGTGCTAGAGCGTTATCCTTTGGAATTGAAGGAAATTTGGATTCTTGTCATCCCTCACCAAGCATATTTTGATAGTTATCTCTTAAAATCATCAGGGATACATTTTAAGTTGAGAATTAGTTTTCATTAAAAAAAAAATAGCTTTCTTGTTAAGCTTGACAGTTTTTTACTTTAAAAACTTCTTTTGCGATAGAGAGGAACTGAGCAAAATTCTGGTTATTTTGATTTAATAGATTTTTCTTTTTAATTACTCAACAGGAGTTGGTAGTTGAAAGTCAGATGCAGTCAATATTCACTGACATTGGAAAAGTTGATTTCACAGATCCTTGCAACTATCAATTAATTCCAGCAGTACCTGGAATATCTCCTAATTCTACCACCTCAACAGCCTGGCTTAGCAGTGATGGAGAGGCCCTGTTTGCTTTACCATGTGCTTCTGGGGGAATCTTTGTTCTTAAGCTACCTCCTTATGACATACCTGGTAAGAATGGGAACTGAGCATGGATTTAACTTTAAACAAGGAATGTTAACATTGAAACAGACCTTAAAAGTTCAACCTCCTCATCCAGTGCAGGGATTGCATCTCTTCTGTCCCAGAACTGCTCATTCATTATCGCTTGCCTGATGAGTCCCTAATGCTTTACTTTTATACAGCGTATAAGGAACTATAAAGCATTTGGAGTATGGAAGAACAAATAGACAAGTATAAGACAGCCTATTCTAAATCCTATAGTAAAGATGAGTTGCCTAATTGTCTGCCCTGAGATAGAGGCATTATAACATCATAATTAAATTAATTGAAACAAAGAAGTTCAATACCCTGCACCAAGTCACCACTATGTCTTGCCTGGATTATTGCATTAGTTTCCTAAATACCTCCCCAGATCTGACCTTAACCCTCTTCAGAAACTTCTCAGGTGGACTGGTATATTTAAAACCCAAATTGGGTCATGTCACTGCACTGTGTAACGCCATCTTTTATGTAATGCAGTGACATGACCCAACTTTTTTTTCTTTCTTTCTTTCTTTTGAGATAGAGTCTCACTCTGTTGCTTAGGCTGGGATACAGTGGTGCGATCTTGACTCACTGCAACCTCCACCCACCAGGTTCAAGTGATTCTCGTGTCTCAGTTTCCTGAGTAGCTGGGATTATAGGCATCTACCACCATGCCCAGCTAATTTTTGAATTTTTAGTAAAGACGAGTTTCACCAAGTTGACTATGCTGGTCTCGAACTCTTGACCTCAAGTGATCCGCCTACCTCAGCCTCCTAAAGTGCTGGGATTACAGGTGTGAGCTACCACGCCTGGCCAACATGACCCAACTTGGATTTTAAATACATCATGTTATGCTGAATAAACCCATAGTCCTTACACTGGCTTAGAATGACTCACTGCTCTCTCTCTAACTTCATCTGTTCACTCTTCCCCTCCTCTTCAGCCACATGCCTTCTTGCAATTCCATGAATATGCCAGGAACACCCCTACTTTGAGGCATTTGTTTGGTATAGTCAGCTACTAGCTTGGCTCATTGCCTCAGCTTCTTTAGGTCTTCACTTAATGTCACCTCACTGAGGCTTTCACTGAACACCCTTTTCAAAACGGCAGTGCCCCTGCCTGCCCTCCCTACACCTTGGCATTCTGTGTACTCCTTTTGTGTGTTATTTTTCTCACTGAATACCATTCTACTTAATCTGACTGTCTCTGCTTCTCCCCTACCCCTAAAGGAATGTAAGTTCCATGAGGACAGGAGTTTTAAAATTTGTTTTGTTTACTGCTGTGTCACCAGCATCTAGAACTGTGCCTGGCACATGAAAGGTACCTAGTGATTGTTTTGGAAAGAATGAAGTGATTCTGCTGGATGACAATATGGGTTACAGTCTGTAAAAGGCAAACATTTTCACAAGAAGTATAAAAATGTTATTTTTATTGATCTAATCATGATTCAAAATAGTTTAGGTGTGATATATGTAGGAAAGTTACATCCTAAAACTTTGTTAGTACAGAAATACAGAATCCTATTGCCTATTATAAAGACCTTGTTCATGGTTACATCATTTTTGCCTTTGGGTTTCTCTAAGTGTGATCAAAAGGTGGCTTGGATATCATTGCAGGTGTGGTGTCAGTTGTGGAACTGAAGCAGAGTTCAGTAATGCAACGATTGCTTATAGGATGGATGCCAACAGCTATCAGGTGAGTGGTGTCTGGCAGGTAAATCAAAGGGCCCAGGAATTTAATCTTTTTGCACTGGTTGGCAGTTACTGCTTCCAGTCTTATTCCAAGGCAAACATTATATTAAAAAGGAGAACAGTCAGACTAACATCAAATTGCGTCTGAGGAAAGCCACACTCCTGAGCCCATTTCCTCTGCAATTGGATGCCTTGACACCATAAACCAGCCTACTGTTTATATTCCCACAATATCCAGTTCAGTGTTCTTTTTTTTTTTTTTTTTTTTTTTTTTTGAGACGGAGTTTCGCTCTTGTTACCCAGGCTGGAGTGCAATGGCACGATCTCGGCTCACCGCAACTCCGCCTCCCGGGTTCAGGCGATTCTCCTGCCTCAGCCTCCTGAGTTGCTGGGATTACAGGCATGTACCACCATGCCCAGCTAATTTTTTGTATTTTTAGTAGAGACGGGGTTTCATCATGTTGACCAGGATGGTCTCGATCTCTTGACCTCGTGATCCACCCGCCTCGGCCTCCCACAGTGCTGGGATTACAGGCGTGAGCCACCGCGCCCAGCCTCCAGTTCAGTGTTCTACCCTTACTTACCCAAATCCAGTTTTGTGTAAAATTGTTAGAAGTAGAAAGTATTTGATGGTTAAAGGAAAATAATACAAAAGGAAACAGTCTTCCATTGTTATGTAGAGCCTTTTAAATTTTGTTATAGTAATTGGTGATAAATCAAATAGAAACGTAGTTGTCTTCTACCAGCATATAAGCTCTTGGTCCTCCTGCTAAGCGTGTACATTTATAATTTTATATTTCTTGAATTGCAAATTCTAATGATCAGATTCTTTGCAACAGTAAAACTCTAAAACGGGGCCTTATGTTTTAGGGGTGACCAGTCGCCTTCAGATCGTCCCCTCAGTCTTGCTGTTCATTGTGTGGAGCATGATGCCTTCATCTTTGCTCTGTGTCAGGATCATAAGCTACGAATGTGGTCTTACAAGGTAAGTGTTGCTGTGGGTTAACATATGAGAATTGAAATAAATCTTGCTGTTTCTCTTAAAGATTATCAGATCAGTTGGTTTGGAAATTATTGGTCACTTCCAGATTCAGACAGTTTCATTTAGCTTTGTTTTGCATATATTTTCCTCCTAACTTACTGTCTTTTTATTTGGAAAAAATATCACTCTTACAGGGACACTGAAAGAGTAAGTACAAAGTATACCTTTCACTTTATTTTTATTTTTTGAGACAGTCTCACTTTGTCGCCCAGGCTGGAGTGCAGTGGCATGAATACAGCTCACTGCAGCCTCTGCCTCCCAGACTCAAGTAATCCACCCACCTCAGCTCCTCAAATACCTGGGACTACAGGCGCACACTACCACATGGAGTCTTGCTCTGTCGCCCAGGCTGGAATGCAATGGCGCAATCTCCGCTTCCTGGGTTCAAGCAATTCTCCTACCTCAGCCTCCCGAGTAGCTGGGATTATAGGTGTGCATCACTGCACCTGGCTAATTTTTATATTTTTAGTAGAGATGGGGTTTCACCCTGTTGGCCAGGCTGGTCTCGAACTCCTGACCTCAGGTGATCCACCCGCCTTGACCTCCCAAAGTGCTGGGATTACAGATGTGGGCTACCATGCCCAGCCCATGTTAGCCCTTTTCAAACAAAAACCTGTAAGGTCTTATAGCAGATAAACTAGATAGAATGGTAGATATAATGAAAGGTCCATCCTTTCGAAAGTTATGTTCTTCTAGTCTGAATATTCTTTGAATACCACCTATTAACTATTTTCTTGGGCAGGAGCAAATGTGTCTCATGGTAGCTGACATGCTGGAATATGTCCCTGTGAAGAAAGACCTTCGACTCACTTCTGGGACTGGACACAAATTACGGCTTGCTTATTCCCCTGCCATGGGACTCTACCTAGGCATATACATGCATGCACCAAAACGAGGACAGGTATGAAACAAATAAGACATCAAGTTATTCCGTGTGTACTGATGTGGGGAAATGGCTGTAGACTCAGTGAGTCTGTTCAAGCCCTTTGCACCAACCTAGATGTGTTTCTGAGGTGATGGTTGGGTTTTGTGTTACTATGTGAATTAGAAGACTTTGAAGAAGGGGTCAGTATGAAAGGAAGTAGAGAGTTTAAGGCAATATGAAAAGAAAAGTTTACCTAAACTAAACAAGAAGAGCAAATGAGGAAGTCTAGGTGAAAAAACAGAATTCCTGAAAGGGATGTAGGTGTTAAGTGGTTAATTTTTCTAAATAAATTTGCCCATCATCCAGACAGTAGCTGCTGTATGTATATGAGATGTGTAGAATGTGATGTAATAGGGTAATCATATAATAAACAGCCATTTGTTGGGTATCATGTGCTTGGCGTTGTGCCAGGCCCTTTATGGACATTAATAATAGCAAACACTTGGATTGTGCTTACTCTGGGCTCATACACAATATGCATATTATCCATTTAATCCTAATAGCCCAGTGAGGTAGGGTCTGTCTCCCTTACTGTGCAGGAGGTCTGATTCCCCCACTGAGTCCCCATGCTAGGTTACTGCCCTTCCTGGATGCCCTTTTCACTTCTGTTGCACTGTCATAGCCCACTCCATATTGCAGCTCTAATGTGGATCCCCTCCTTACCCTGTTTGGGCCCTGAGACCACCAGACTGCTCCCATGCAATGGACCTCCTCCTCACCCAACCTGAGTTTCCACCCTGCACCAAGCTTCCTGTACATGTGGAAGCCCTCTCAAACTGTTCCTACTCCTCCACCCCAAGCCAGACGGTCCCAAATGTGGACACTGTACTCAGGTCCTTAGACTCCTGCTTCATTCACACTCGGCCACACCCCTCTGCATGCATGCCCTTCCCAGTCGCCAATGTTCTCACCCCTGTGCTGGGATGTGCCTGCGCCAATGTTCCCTTCAGCCTGTTCAGACTGACTCCCTGTGCCACACCCCAAACCCCAGGTCCCAGACCACTACCTTCTGGCCAGCAAAGATAACTACTTTGCTTTAGGTACCTATTGGTTTTTGGACTGGATTGCTCAGGAACAGAATGGAAGGGAAGAGGAAGAGCTCGTTCTTGCAGTTTTTTTCCTAATATTATGGCCCAAAGGTACCATGCTATGAAGACATTTATCTTGATTGCATATAATTAGTCTATTCTGTCTTCTGGAGGACAACCCTTGAACTATTTGAACACACCTGTCTATCTGCCCTAAGTACACTCTTGTCTGTGTGTAGGCTGTGAGTGGTTGGAGAATTGACTCTACTCTGACTTCCTTAGTTCGTTCCATGTTATTCATATAACATCCTGTTGATCACTGTCCTCAACATGTCACAATTAGTTTTTCACACTAAAATAGTGGTTCTCAAACTTTTGGCCTCGGAACCCTATTACACTTAAAAATTTCTGAGAACTGCAAAGAGCTTTTATTTATGTGGGTTATATCTATGGATATTTAACTTATTAGAAATTAAAACTGGCTGGATGTGGGTTGACACATTTTATTATGCAGTATCTAAATTACTGTTTTGAGGGGTAATCCCCAAGACCACCTCACCTCCACAACCAGTAATACTCTGAAAGGACTCATAAGGCTCAGTATGTAGTTGTGCTGACAGCTAAGATTTATTACAGTGAGAAGATACAGAGCAAAGTCAGCAAAGGGAAAAGGTACATGGAGTAAAGTCTGAGGCCAGACACAAGCGTCTAAGAGTCCTCTCCCAGTGGAATCTCATAGGACATGCTTAATTCTTCCAGCACTGAACTGTGATGACATGTGTAAAGTGTTGTCTCCCAGGAAAGCTTGCTAGAGGCTCAGTGCCCAAATTTTTATTGGGGGCTGGTCATATAGGGACCCTCTGCCTAGCATGTACCAAATTTCCAGGCTCCTGAAAGGAAAGCAAATGTTCCACATAAACTAAATTGTGCAAGCAGTCTAGACACATTAAACCATCCTTATCAGTTAGGGAACCATGGGAACACTGCCAACTTTGCAAGCAAGTTTTCTTTTTTTTTTTTTTTTTAAACTTTTTTAAAAACAGAAATTCCTGCTCAGCTTTCCTTTTTTTTTTTTCAGATGGAGTCTTGCTCTGTTGCTCAGGCTGGAGTACAGTGGCGTGATCTCAGCTCACTGCAACCTCTGCCTCCTGGGTTCAAGCAGTTCTCCTACTGCAGATAGCTGGGATTACAGGCACATGCCACCATGCCTGGCTTAACTTTTTCTATTTTTTTAGTAGAGCTGGGGTTTTGCTATGTTGGCCAGGCTGGTCTCGAACCCCTGACCTCAGGTGATCCGCCCCTCTCAACCTCCAAAAGTGCTGGGATTGCATGAGCCAGAGTGCCTGACTGCCCTTTTTTTTTAGGTTTGGGGGTACATGTGAAGCTTTGTCATATAGGTGAACTCATTGTTGAAAAAACTAGTTCTCTGAATGAAGAGACCTTCCAAACAGGCTTTGTGTGAGCAACATGGCTGTTTATTTACCTAGGTGCAGGTGGGCTAAGGCGGAAAAGGACATTAGCAAAGGGAAGTGGGATAGGAGTTGGTTTTATAGGTTTGAGTAGTTTTTTGCAGGGGGCGGGAGTGTTGCAGAGTAAGTTCAGTTACAGTGGCAGGGTTGGGTGAGAGGTGTTTACGTTATCGTAAGAACAGTTACGATGGCAGGGTTGGTTGAGGGGCTTGTCCAGGGAAGCTTTGCTGGGCGATTAGGAACAATGGTGAACGCAGGTAGGGGATCGGAGACATCAGCTGAGGCAAGCAGGACTTCAGACTTTCAGGCTCCAGGCTTGCATATGGAGACCTGACACTCATATCATGGGGCTCTGTTGTACATTATTTCATCACTCAGGAATTAAGCCCAGTACCCAGTAGCTGCCTTTTCTGCTCCTCTCCCTTCTCCCAACCTCCATCCTCAATTAAACCCTAATGTCTGTTGTTTTTTTCTCAGTGTTCTTAAGTTCTCATCATTTAGCTCCCATTTATAAATGAGAACATGTGGTGTTTGGTTTTCTGTTCCTGCATTATTTTGCTGAGGATAATGGCCTCCACCTCCATCTGTGTTTCCACAAAAGACATGATCTTGTTCTTTATTGTGGCTGCACGTGTTCCATGATGTATACGTACCACATTTTGTTTATCCAGTCTGTCGTTGATGGGCATTTAAGTTGATTCTATGTCTTTGCTATTATGAATAGTGCTGCAGTGAACATTCATGTGCATGTGTCTTTATGGTTTGTATTCCTTCAGGTTATATACCCAGTAATGGGATTGCTGAGTTGAATGGTAGTTCTGTTTTTAGTTCTTTGAAGAATTGCCACACTGCTTTCCACAATGGTTGAACTAATTTACACTCCCACCAATGGTGTATAAATGTTCCCTTTCCCTGCAACCTTGCCAGCACCTGTTATTTTTTGACTTTTTAATAGCAATTCTGACTGGTGTGAGATGGTAGCTCATTGCGGTTTTGATTCGCATTTCTCTAATGACCAGTGATCTGAACATTTTTCATATGCTTGTTAGCTGCATACATCTTCTTTTGAAAAGTGTCTGTTCATGTCTTTTGCCCCCTTTTTAATGAGGTTGTTTGCTTTTTTTTTTTTTTGTACATTTAAGTTTCTTACAGATGTTGGATATCAGACCCTTGTCAATGCATAGTTTGCAAATATTTTTTCCCATTCTGTGGGTTGTCTGTTTATTCTTTTGATAGTTTATTTTGCTGTGCAGAAGCTTTTCAGTTTAATTAGATCCCACTTGTCAATTTTTGCTTTTGTTGAATTGCTTTTGGTGTCTTTGTCAGTAAATCTTTGCTTCTTCGTATGTTCAGGATAGTATTGCCTACGGTTGTCTTCCAAGGTTTTTATAGCTTTGGGTTTTACATTTAAGTCTTTAAAATCCATCTTGAGTTGATTTTTGTACATGTAAGGAAGGGACCCAGTTTCAGTCTTCTCATTTGCCCATTTTTTAATTGGTTTATTTGTCTTTTTTTTTTTTTTGAGACGGAGTTTCGCTCTTGTTACCCAGGCTGGAGTGCAATGGCGCGATCTCGGCTCACTGCAACCTCCGCCTCCTGGGTTCAGGCAATTCTCCTGCCTCAGCCTCCCGAGTAGCTGGGACTACAGGCATGCACCACCATGCCCAGCTAGTTTTTGTATTTTTAGTAGAGATGGGGTTTCACCATGTTGACCAGGATGGTCTCGATCTCTTGACCTCGTGATCCACCCGCCTCGGCCTCCCAAAGTGCTGGGATTACAAGCGTGAGCCACCGCGCCTGGCTTATTTGTCTTTTTTGTTATTGAATTGTAAGAATTCTGTAAACAGGCTGGGCGCAGTGGCTCACGCCTGCAATCCTAGCACCCTGGGAGGCCGAAGTGGGCGGATCATTTGAGGCCAGGAATTTGAGAACAGACTGGCCAGTATAGCAAAACACCATCTCTGTTAAAAATGCAAAAAAATTAGTCAGTTATGGTGGCATGTGCCTGTAATTCCAGCTACTCGCTAGGCTAAGGCACAAGAATTGTTTGAACCCCAGAGGCAGAGGTTGCGATGAACCAAGATCATGACACTATACTCCTCCATTCTGGCAAGACTATGTCTCAAAAAAAAAAAAAAATGATACTATAATCTTAATCTTATGGGGCCACCATTGGATATGTGGTCCATATACCAGAGCATCATTATATAGTATGTAACTATATTATTCTGGATCTAAATCTCTAATCAGATTTATGATTTACAAGTAGTATCTTCCACCATGTGAGTTGTCTTTCCACTTTCTTGATGTTGTCCTATGAAGCACAAGTTTTTAATTTTGATAAAGTCTAAATTGTTTTTTCTTTGGTGCTTTTTTTTTTTTTTTGGAGACAGAGTCTTGCTCCGTCGCCAGGTGCCAGGCTGGACTGCAGTGGCATGATCTCAGCTCACTGCAACCTCCGCCTCCCGGGTTCAAGCAATTCTCCTGCCTCAGCCTCCTGAGTAGCTGGGACTACAGGCGTGCGCCACCACGCCCAGCTAATTTTTGTATTTTTAGTAGAGACGGGGTTTTACCGTGTTGGCCAGGATGGTCTCTATCCCTTGACCTTATGATCTGCCCACCTTGGCCTCCCAAAGTGCTGGGATTACAGGCATGAGCCACTGCACCCGGCAGTTTCTTTTGTTGCTTTTGTTCATGGTGTCATACCTTAAGAATCCCTTACCAAATGTAAGGTCATAAAGATTTACTCTTAACGTTTTCATCTCAGAGTTTTATACTTTTAGCTTTTATATTGAAGACTTTGATTCATTTTTTAATTTTGTGGGTTTTTAAAACAAATTGTGAGATAAGTGTTCAGCTTCATTCTTTTGCTTGTAGAAATCCAGTTTTCTCAGCACCATTTTTTGAAAAGATAGTTCTTAACACATTGAATGGTCCTGGCACACTTCTCAAAGTCATTTGACCTTAGAAACCTGGTTTTATTTCTACACTCTCAATTCTGTTCCATTGATCTATATATCTGACCCTGTGCCAGTACCACACTCTCTTGATTATTGTTGCTTTGTAGGAAATTTTGACACCAGGAAGTGAGAGCCCTCTTACTTTGTTATTCTTTTTCAAGATTGTTTTGGCTGTTCTGGGTCCCATTCAATTCCATATGAGTTTTAGAATCAGCTTGTCAGTTTCTACAAAGAAGTCAGCTGAGATTCTGATAAAAATTGTGTTGCCTCTGTAGATGATATTACAAAGTATCGCTACTTAGCAATATTAAGTATACTGATCCATGAACATGGGATGCTTTAGTTTTCAGAGTATAAGTTTTATACTTTTGTTAAATTTGTTCTTAAATATTTGATTCTTTTTTATGCTATTGTAAATGAAATTTTCTTGATGCTATTGTAAATGAAATTATTTTCTTAATTTCATTTTCAGAGTGCTCATTGGAAGTTTATAGAAATACAATTGATTTTTGCATATAGATATTGTACCTTGAAACCTTGTTGAACTCATTTATTCTGATAGATTTTATAGTGAATTCCTTAGGATTTTCTTTATACAAGATAATGTCATTTGCAAATAAATTTTACAGTGGCTCATGCTTTTAATCCCAGCACTTTGGGAGGTCGAGGTGGGCGGATTGCTTGAGCTCAAGAGTTCCAGACCAGCCTGGGCAACAAAGAGAAACTCTGTCTCTAAAAAATAGCAAAAATTAGCTGAGTGTAGTGGCTCGTTCCTATAGTCCCAGCTACTTGAGGGGCTGAGATGGGAGGATGGCTTGAGCCTGGAAGGTTGAGGTTGCAGTGATCCTGATTGCCTCACTGCACTTCAACCTGGGCAGCAGAGGGAAACCCTGTTTTTAAAAAAAGTTAGTTTTATTACTTCCTTTCTGATCTAGATGCCTTTTCTTTCTTTTCTTTTCCTTCTTTCTTGTGGGGTTTCCTGGCTAGATCCTCCAGCACAATGTTGAATAGAGTGGCAAGAACCGACATCTTTTTTTTTTTTTTTCTTTGAAACAACGTTTCACTCTGTCACTCAGGCTGGAGCGCAGTAGTGCAATCTCAGCTCATTGCAACTTCCTAGTTCAAGTGATTCTCCCACCTCAGCCTCCTGAGTAGAGCAGCTGAGACTCCGGACACGTGCCACCATGCCCAGCAAATTTTTGTATTGCTACTGTTTTTTGGTAGAGACAAGGTTTCACCTTGTTGATCATGCTGTTTGTCTTTGTCTCGCTTCTGATTTTTATTACTAAGGGGGAAATTGTCAGTGTTTAACCATTGAGTATAATGCTGGCTGTGAATTTTTCTTTTTTTCATTGTGATGCAACAGTGGGCTGTGAATTTTTTTGGGGATAGTGTCTCACTCTGTCACCCAAGTTGGAGTGTAGTGGCGTAATCTCAGCTCATTGCAACCTCCACCACTCAGGCTCAAGCAATCCTCCCACCTCAGCCTCCCAAGTAGCTGGGACCACAGGTGCATGCCATCAGGCGTGGCTAATTTTTTTGCATTTTTGGTAGAGACGGGGTTTCGCCATGTTACCCAGTCTGGTCTCAAACTCCTGCACTCAATCTACTACCCACCTTGGCCTCCCAACGTGCTTTGGGAATACAGGCCCGAACCATAGCACCCAACCTGAATTTTTCACAAGTGTCATTTATCGTGTTGAAGAGTTTCCCCTTTATTACTAGTTTCTTGAGTGTTTTTCTCATGAAAGGGTGTTCAGTTTGGTCCCACTGCCTTCATCCGTGTTAAGACACCAGTAATTTTCCCCACCATTGGTCTTGCATCATGGATGCAAATATCAACAAAATGAAAAAGGCAAATAATGTGGTATTATTATGAAAAGGGTTTGGGCCAGGTATGGTGGCTGCCTGTAATCCTAACACTTTGGGTGGCCAAGGCAGACAGATCACCTGAGGTCAGGAATTCGAGACCCACCTGGCCAACATGGTAAAACTCTGACTCTACTAGAAATACAAAAATTAGCCAGGCATGGTGGCGGGTGCCTATAATCCTAGCTATTTGGGAAGCTGAGGCAGGAGAATTGCTTGAACCCAGAGGGTGGAGGTTGCAGTGAGCCAAGAGTGCAACTCCATCTCAAAATTTAAAAAAAAGAAAGAAAAGGGTTTTGACATCATTAACCCCCTCAGATGATCTCAGGGACCTCTAGGAATCTGTGGACCACATTTTGAGAACTACTGCTCTAAAGGTCAGATCTGGAATTGAATGTTCAGGAGTGTGTCAAATTGAGCAGAGCTATCACTTCCTTTGTTTTGAGCATTATGATTCTTCATTGAAGCCAAAAATCAGAATAACTTTTTTGACAGCTATGTAACAGTGCTAGTCTAATCAGATTATAATAAACTTGTAGTATTTTTTTTCTTTTTGCTTCACAAAAACTGATCTTCGGCTGGGCATGTTGGTGCACACATATAGTTCTAGCTACTCAGGAGGCTGATGCAGGACGGTCGTTTGAGTTCAAGAATTTGAGCCCAGCCTGGGCTGTTGGCTTTTTGTTTGTTTGTTTAATGTTGTTTGAGACCTGCTAAATTGATTTTATGTTCCACTAACGGATTGAGATCTGTAGGTTGTAAAACATAGGTTCAGGCTAGAATGGATATAAGCACTACATATTTTTTTCATATTTCATGCACTACTTTTTTTCTCAAAAGGGAATTTTGCAACTTTTTTTCTTTAATACTTCTTTGTGAACAGTTGCATATAAGTAAAGGGTCATCACTCTTATCAATTTACAGTAAATTTTCTTTATCAAAACAGTTATTTAGGCTTGGCTCAGTGGCTCATGCCTATAATCCCCGCACTTTGGGAGGCCGAGGTGGATGGAGCTCCTGAGGTCAGGAGTTTGAGACCAGCTGGCTAACATGGTGAAACCCCGTCTCTATTAAAAATACAAAAATTGGCCAGGCATGGTGGCTCACGCCTGTAATCCAAGCACTTTGGAGGCCAAGGTGGGCGGATCACCTGAGATCGGGAGTTCAAGACCAGCCTGACCAACATGGTGAAACCCCGTCTTTAAAAAAAAAATACAAAATTAGCCAGGATGGTGGTAGGGATCTATAATCCCAGCTACTTGAGAGGCTGAGGCAGGAGAATTGATTGAACCCAGGAGGTGGAGGTTACAGTAAGGCGAGATCCCTGCACTCCAGCCTGAGCAACAGAGTGAGACTTGTCTCCAAAAAAAAAAGTTATTTAAAATATTCATCAAGCCGCTTACTGTAGCTCACTCTTACAGTCCCAGCAGTTTGGGAGGCCAAAGCAGAAGGATCATTTGATACCAGGAGTTGGTGACTAGCTCGGGCAACATAGTGAGATTCCGTCACTACAAAAATAATAATAATAATGATAATAGAATTAGCTGCGTGGAGTAGCACGTGCCTGCATTACTAGCTATTTGGGAGGCTAAGGTAGGAAGATAGCTTGAGCCCAGGAGTTGGAGGTTAACATTGAGCTACGATCATGTCATTGCACTCCAGCCTGGGTGACAGAGTAAGACCTGTTTCTAAAAATAAAAACAAATATGAATAAGTCTTTTACCACAGTGAGATAATCACCTCACACCTATTAGGATATCTACAATTTAAATGAATGAATTAATTAATTAATTAATTAAAAAAATAAATAAATGTATGTCTTGGCGAGGATATGGAACAATTCGAGCTGTTTTGTCATTGTTGAGAAATTAGAACTCTTGTACATTGCTAGTGGGAATGTAAAATGCTACAGCCATTATGGAAAACAATATAGTGGTTCCTCAAAAAATTAAACATAGAATTACCATATGATCCAGAAATTCACTTTTGTGTATACATAACCAAAAGAATTGAAAGCTGGGTCTCAAACATACATTTGTACAACCATATACATGGTAGCATTATTCACAGTAGGTGAAAAGTTAAACCAACCCAAGTGTCCATCCACAACAAATAGGTAAACAAAATGTTGCATGTATGTGCAGCTGAAAATTTCAGTTTAAAAGGAAGGAAACGTTGACACATGCAATTAAATAGGCAAACCTTGAAGACATTATGCTAAAGGCATAAATCAATCACGAAAAGACAAATACTATATGATTCTACTTATATGAAGTACCTAGAGTAGTCAAATTTATAGAGATAGTAAAGTGGAGGTTATCAGGGGCTGGGAGTGAGGGGAAATGGGAAATTATTTAATGAATATAGAATTTCAGTTATGTAAGGTGAAGATGAAAAGCATCCTAGAGATTGATTGTACAACAATGTGAATATACTTAACACTGCTAAAAATAGTTAAGATGGTAAAATTTGATGTTATGTGTATTTTACTACATTAAAATAAAGTGGTTCTACCTGGCCTGCGTGGGTGAAAAAGAAAAAAATTTTTAAAGGGTTTCTGAATGCTAATAGCCCTTGCTTAAAAAAGCAACATGTTGATATTTCAGATAATAAATTATCATCTCGTATTTTAACAGTTCTGCATTTTCCAGCTGGTGAGCACTGAGAGTAACCGCTATAGTCTAGATCACATTTCTTCACTATTCACTTCTCAGGTAAGTTGATTCATCCTTTGCATATCACATAAATACAAGAAAAAGAAGATTGGCTAACTCTGTTATGGTATCATGGGACTGTTGTCTTAAAATGGACTATTTCATGATGTACGAAACAAAATTTCATTTGGACTTAACCAAATTCACATGGTACCATGTTTACTTTTCATGCATTTACCTCTTCTGCTGATGAAAATGTAAGTCACCATGAACTACTACTTTTTTTCTTATTTTATCCCTTTTTTCCCCCACATTTCCTCCTAGGAGACACTGATTGACTTCGCCTTAACTTCCACGGATATCTGGGCCCTGTGGCATGATGCTGAGAACCAGACAGTTGTGAAATACATCAACTTTGAACAGTATGGGTCACTTCATTCTGTCATTTTACCTCATCCCAAGCAATTTTTTTTTTTTTTTTTTTTGAGACGGAGTCTCGCTCTTGTTACCCAGGCTGGAGTGCAATGGCGCGATCTCGGCTCACCGCAACCTCCGCCTCCTGGGTTCAGGCAATTCTCCTGCCTCAGCCTCCTGAGTAGCTGGGATTACAGGCACGCGCCACCATGCCCAGCTAATTTTTTGTATTTTTAGTAGAGACGGGGTTTCACCATGTTGACCAGGATGGTCTCGATCTCTTGACCTCGTGATCCACCCGCCTCGGCCTCCCAAAGTGCTGGGATTACAGGCTTGAGCCACCGCGCCCGGCCTCAAGCAATTTTTATGCTAAGAAGACAAGAGGCTGGGCACCATGGCTCATGCCTATAATCTAACACTTTGAAAGGCCAAGGCGGGCAGATCACTTAAGCTCAGGAGTCTGAGCCCAGACTGGGCAATATGGTGAAATCCCATCTCTACTAATAAAAAAAAATAGCTGGACATGATGGCAGCTGCCTGTAATCCCAGCTACTCAGGAAGCGAGGCTGTGGCATGAGAATCACTTGAACCCAGAACCTGGGAGACGGAGGTTGCAGTGAACCAAGATGCACCACTGCACTCCACCCTGGGCGACAGAGTGAGACTATGTCTCAAAAAAATAAATAAATAAAAATAATAAAAAAAGAAGAAGAAAAGAAGGCGAGAACTTTTTATGTAGAGCCAAGTCAAGGGTTTTCATTTGAAGAATTCCACCCTGGGTTTTCCTCTTGTTACAGTCTTCCTGAAATACGTCTTATGCCTTTTGTGTTCTTTCTTACGTTTTTGTTTTAAGACAAAATGATAATTCTTGGGGTTGGACTAAGATAAAGAAAATGCCATATTTGTTGGGAGAGATAGCATATGTCCAAAATACCTCTAATCTGGGTGTTTTCTTTATTTCTATGGCAAAGACTTCCTGATTCCTGCATCTTCCTTAGGACACTATAGTCTTTTGTGTTTTCAGTTTTCTGAAACCTTAGGCTGAGGCAGGAGGATTGCTTGAGCCTCAAAGTTCAGGCTTCAGTGAGCTATGAATGTGTAGCATTTTATGAGTATAAAATTATAACACAATTTAATGTTGATTATGTCTAATATTAGATATATTTGGTATCTAATATTTTTTAATGTATGTATTAGTTTGTAAACTTTAAGTAGTTAAAAAATACATTTAAAACCCAATTTTCAGCTGATCCCATGATAATGGATTGTCAGAACTTAACCTTAGTGTCACTAAAGTTAGTAAACAGCCCTCCACTGCTAAGTTTGACTCACCAAAAGTAAAAAACAATTTTGAAGCAAACACTTGTCTAACCCCGAAACACCTGTAGAAGATACCTTGTTACACAGCTTGAGGGCCACTGAACCAATTGAACCCGCTGGGTCTCTGATAACCCTAGAACCTAGGGTAGAATTATAGGAATAATTGCCCCCCAGGTTGACCCCAAGCCATACCTCAAAGATAAAAAGTATTCCTTAAGGTGGAGGTTGCTGTGAGCCCAGATTGCGCCATTGCACTGAAGTACTCCTTATAGATGGCGTTTGAGCAAAGTGGTCAGAAAGTACAGGCTGTAGAGTTGGAGCAGGGTAGGAATCCTGGTTGTGCAACTTCCTAGCTATGCTATATCCTCAGCCTCACTCTCTACATCTGTGAAATAGAAGTATTATATCCTTGAAAGACATATATGAATAATGTCTAAAACTGCTTCTAACATTAATATCTAGAAAATAGTAAATGTAGAATGAAAGTTAGCTATTCTTTGTATGTGATGCCTTAGTGTTAAAATGACATTAAAGATTGGGCTTGGGATCTGAAACAATAAGTTTCAATTTTAGGAAGGTACTTAGTAAGAAAACTTGTATTAAAACTAAGCTCTGCTAAAAATGTTTCTTTATTTAAAAAAAAAAAATTTTTAACCGGGCATGTCTTTAGCTGGGCACTGTGGCTCATACCTGTAATCCTAGCGCTTTGGGAGGCCAAGGTGGGTGGATCATGAGGTCTGGAGTTCAAGACCAGCCTGGCGAACATGGTTGAAACCCTATCTCTACTAAAAAGACAAAATTAGCCGGGCATTGTGGCCAGCGCCTGTAATCCCAGCTACTCGGGAGGCTGAGGCAGGAGAACCACTTGAACCCAGGAGGTGGAGGTTGCAGTGAGCCAAGACTGCGCCACTGCACTCCAGCCTGGGTGTCAGAACAAGACTCTTGTCTCAAAAAAAAAAAAAATGTTTTTAGTAGAATTGATCATTGCAGGGTTCAGTGATGCCCCCCCACCCAGATACTGCCAACAGCATATGTTTCATTTTTATTGATCACTTCTGTATAAACTGATGGACTTCCTTTGTCTCTAGTAATGTTGCAGGTCAGTGGAATCCAGTTTTTATGCAGCCTCTGCCAGAGGAAGAGATTGTCATCAGAGCTGATCAAGACCCCAGAGTAAGTAAATGGTCAAGTGTTGTATAAGGTTATGATTTACCTTGAGCTTTTTTTTTTTTTTTTTACAGAGAGAGCTGGTCAAAATTATTAGGCAATGTGAGATTTTCCATGTTATTCTCTCTACTTCATTTCCCTACTTGCGGGAGTTTATTGCGATTTATTTTGTTTTGTTTTGTTTGTATATAATACCTATTATTACTGGTTCCATTTCTTTTCCATGTGAGCCATAAATGAATACTGTCGTAGATGGTGTAGAAACCAGCTTCCTTTACTTGTTCTCTTACCAATATATATCGCCAATAAACTAGATTTGCTTCTTCCATTTAAAATTGACATTTGACAAAGCTTGTTTTCTGCTGGAACCCAATGAAGCTCTCCGTGAGGAGCACACCATTTTCAGAGTAGTACCTCCAGTTGACTCAAAGACATTGCAGTCTTCACTTTCCATGTGAAAACATGTAACTGTTATTTCCCAAAGATAGAAGGGCAAAATGGCCATGTTCATATCGTAGAAACTCAAACTTTGGTGTTACGTGTTGGATTCCAAATTTTGTTTAGAATGATAGTAACTTTTGTTTTAATGTTCTAACAGGAGATATATCTGCAGAGTCTTTTTACACCAGGACAATTCACAAATGAAGCTTTATGTAAGGCTTTACAGGTCAGCAAAAAAAAAAAAAAAAAAAAAAATTTACTGTTTATTTAAGACTATTTCTTATTTTATTACCATATTATATAATTAATAATTATCAAGTTTTTGCATATATTAAACACTGAGCATACTTCTGTATACGTATGTGTGAGTTTGTAAATACTTTTATACTTTTTTTAATGTTCTTTCCATTAAATGTAATATTCCTGGTAGAGAGGTAGAGGGTAGGAGGAGGGACCACTTTCCCAGTAATCAGTAGGCATGCCAGAGGTAAAAAATGAAACCTGTGCCTACAGTATTGGAAAGATACCATACTACACTGCATATAATCTCTGTACTTGAGAAAAATTTAAAGTGGTTTCTCGTTTAGTTTTGATTATACTGTTTTAACATTTTTGTTAGGACAGTGAAGGTCTGACTTGGTTCTGATTCAAGAAAACTCTAAAAAATTAGCTTCAGAGCCATACTATAAGAGAAGCCCAGTGCTTTACAAAAGGATTATTTGGCCAGTAGTGGTGACTCACACCTGTAATCCCAAAATATTGGGAGGCTGAAGCAGGAAGATTACTTGAGCCCAGGAATTTGAGAGCAGCCTGAGTAACATAGGGAGATCCCATCTCTAAAAACAAAAAAAAGAAAGAAAAATATCCAGGTGTGATGACATGTACCTGTGGTCCCAGCTACTCAGGAGGCCTAGGTGGGAAGACTGCTTTAGCCCAGGAAGCAGAGGGTGCAGTGAGCCTTGATCATGCCACGGCATTCCAGCCTGGGAAACAGAGTGAAACCCTGTTTTTGTTTTTTTTTTTTTTTTTTTTTTTTTTTTTTTTTTTTAAACAAAACAAAACAAAAAGATTTCTTTAAGGTTGCAAAGGCTTTTGACCAGGTGCAGCGGCTCACGCCTGTAATCTCAGCACTTTGGGAGGCTAAGGTGGGCAGATTGCTTGAGCTCAGAAGTTCAAGACCAGCCTGGGTAACATGGCAAGATTTCCATCTCTACTAAAACAACAAAAAAGTTGAAAAATTTCACAGACTTTTTTTTTTCTTTTTTATTTTTTGAGGCAGAGTCTCACTCTTTTGCCCAGGCTGGATTTCAGTGGCACAATCTTGACTCAGCGCAACCTCTGCCTCCCGGGTTCAAGCAATTCTTCTGCCTCAACCTCCTGAGTAGTTGGGGTTACAGGCACGTGCCACCACGCCCAGCTAATTTTTGTACTTTTAGTAGGGAGGGAGTTTCACCATGTTGACCACGATGGTTTCAAACTCCTTGCCTTAAATGATCCACCTGCCTCAGCCCCCCAAAGTGCTGGGATTATAGGCGTGCATCGCTGCACCCAGCTTCCACAGGCTTCTTTAAACTGCTACTTAGCTTCATGAGTGGATTTAAAATACAGTAATTCATATAATTGAAAGGTATATTGGAATCATCTAGTCTGACCTCTCACGTAAAACAGAAATGCCTTCTGAGGTTTTTCTGATAGATATTCAACCTTTAATTGTCTCTACCTCCAGTGACCAGTTTCTCACTGGAGTTGTTATTCCCTAACTGTGTCATTTAAAAGGAAGCCTACATCCTTTTGGTGGCTTCTTTCTTTTGGAAGTTTATAGAACATGCCTGTCTTCTGTAAATCAACCCTTCAGGTATTTTAAGAGTCTTTCCAGGTCATCTTTCTCCAGACTAAATATACTCAGTTTCTTAACTTTCTGTCGGGTGATGTGTGTTTCACGTATGCCAAATCTCTATTTTACAGTTTTACATTGCCTCCATGTCTTCTAAACTGAAATATTTTTCATTCAGTTTTGGCTGTTATGTAGAAGTCTAAAGTGTCTCTTTTAATGTTAGATTTTCTGCCGAGGAACTGAGAGGAATTTGGATCTTTCCTGGAGTGAACTGAAAAAAGAAGTTACTTTGGCTGTTGAAAGTGAGGTGAGGTTTGGGTAGAGAAAGAATAAGAATTCCTTCCATTTTGATATAGGGAAAATTGGTACTGAAGAATTACTGGAATTCTTCACTTGACCTTGTTCATTGGAAGTATAAATGTTTAAACCTTTTAACTAGAGAATTAGATATACATTTGGATAGTCTATGGCCTTTAATACATAAGGAATATTCATTTGGCTGTAGCTTAGTATAATGATATTGGACAACTATATTTTTTGTGGATAAAGATCCTGAGTGGCATCAAGAGTTTAATTTATTTCATTTCTTCTTTGCCAGCTTCAAGGAAGTGTAACAGAGTATGAATTCTCCCAAGAGGCGTTTCGAAATTTACAACAAGAATTCTGGTGCAAGTTCTATGCCTGTTGTCTTCAGTATCAAGAAGCCCTCTCTCATCCTCTTGCCCTGCATTTGAATCCACACACAAACATGGTGTGCCTGCTGAAAAAAGTAAGGGAGCTGAAGCATAGAGAAGAACTTCTTTAGACAGTTCAGTGGGTGTTAACAACAAAGTGCCTTCAGAAAAAAAAAAAATTCAGTAGCTCTTGCAGAATGTTAGTCTGGTGAATGTTGTGGTTAGCTTTTAGGACTTGCATTTGTAATTTTTTTCCCTAAAATTGTAATTCATTCATAATAGTTTTCTATGTTATTATCTATACTTTTTTTGCATTTTATTTAATTTACTTTTTATATTGAACGAATTTCCAACTTAAGGTAAGAGTTACAAGAATAGCACAAAGAATTCCTATATACCCTTCACCTGAATTCATTTGTTCACTTCCCTTTGCTTTTCGTCATTCTCTAAACATATTTTTTTCCTGAACTACAGAAAAGTTAGTTGTAGATATCATACTCCTTTATCCTTAAATATTTCAGCATGTATCTAAGAACAAGGATATTAAATAACCACAGCTCAATTTAAAAGTCAGGTTATTTGATATTGACATAATACTATACAGTTTATATTCAAATCTTGCCAAATATAATATATAGTTTATATTAAGAATTTTGCCAGTTGTGCCCGTAATTTTTCTTCCTGATCCAAGATTCAATCTTTGTTTTTTCTTTTCCTGAGACAGAGTCTTGCTCTGTTGTCCAGTTTGAAGTGCAGTGGCATGATCTTGGCTCACTGCAACCTCCACCTCCTGGGTTTAAGCAATTCTCCTGCCTCAGCCTCTCGAGTAGCTGGGATTATAGGTGCACACCACCACACCCAGCTAATTTTTGTATTTTTAATAAAGACAGGGTTTCACCATGTTGGCTATGCCGGTCTGGAACTCCTGACCTCGTGATCCACCTGCCTTTGCCTCCCAAAGTGCTGGGATTTCAGGCATGAGCCAACACACCTGGCTTTTTTTTTTTTTTTTTTGACGGTGTCTTGCTCTGTTGCCCACTGCAACCTCTGCCTCCTAAGTTCAAGCAACCTCTTGGCTCACTGCAACCTCCACCTCCTGAGTTCAAGCAGTTCTCCTGCCCCAGCCTCCAGAGTAGCTGGGATTACAGGTACACCACCACACCTGGCTAATTTTGTAGTTTTAGTAGAGACGGAGTTTCACCGCGTTGGCCAGCCTGGTCTCAAACTCCTGGCCTCAGGTGATCCACCTCAGCCTCCCAAAGTGCAGGATCCAATCTAATATTTTATATATATTTAGTTATTATGTCTCTTTAGCTTAATCTCAAACTGTTATCAGCGTTTGTCTTTCATGAGAATGACATTATTTGAAGACCACACTTGTTTTGTTTATTTGTTTGTTTTTTGAGGCTGGGTCTCGCTGTGTCACCCAGGCTGGAGTGCAGTAGCCCTCTTAAGACTCACTGCAGCGTCAACCTCCCAGGCTCAAGTGATCCTCCCACCCTGACTTCCCGAGTAGCTAGGACTAAAGCTGCATGCCACCACACTTGACTAATTTTTTTTTTTTTTTTTTTTTTTTTTAAAGAGATGGGGTTTCATCATGATACCCAGGCTCGTCTTGAACTCCTGGGCTCAAATGATCCTCTCACCTTGGCCTCCCAAAGTGCGGAATTACAGGTGTGAGCCACCGTGCCCAGCCAAGACTACACCTGTTGTTTTATAGAGTGTATTTCAACTTGGGTTTGTCTCGTGTTTCCTCATGATAAGATGCACATCTCAATTATTTTATACCTTTAAAAATTTACTGAAAAAAAATGTAACTGGAAAATTTATATTTCTAGGGGTACCTGTCTTTCCTTGTTTCCTCCTCTTTAGTGGATCATTTGTATCTCCTGCCTTATGAGAACCTTTTGACAGAAGATGAGACAACCATATCTGATGGTAATAGTAATTGTTATGTCCATACTTAATCCCCTTTCTATATAAACCTAATGCTTCATTTCACACAGACACAAAAAATATTGATTGTTACAATGACCTGCCTTGATCACTTTACCACACCACAAATATTTTAATGAACACTTAAGAGACCTAAGCATCTCTGAGACCTTAGATTTCTTGTCATTTAATTAACAAACGTTTTATTTTTTTTATTTTTTTTTTTTTTTTGAGACGGAGTTTCACTCATGTTACCCAGGCTGGAGTGCAATGGCGCGATCTCGGCTCACCGCAACCTCCGTCTCCTGGGTTCAGGCAATTCTCCTGCCTCAGCCTCCTGAGTAGCCGGGATTACAGGCACGCGCCACCATGCCCAGCTGATTTTTTGTATTTTTAGTAGAGACGGGGTTTCACTATGTTGACCAGGATGGTCTCGATCTCTTGACCTCGTGATCCACCCGCCTCGGCCTCCCAAAGTGCTGGGATTACAGGCTTGAGCCACCGCGCCTGGCAATTTCGTTTTAATATATTTATCAATCAGTAGATTGTCATTGGCTTAAGACATGTTAACTCTCACTTATTTGTAGATGTGGATATCGCTCGTGATGTCTTATGTCTTATAAAATGCCTGCGGCTGATTGGAGAGTCAGTAACTATGGATATGTCAGTTACAATGGAAACGAGTTGTTACAACCTACAGTCTCCGGAAAAGGCTGCAGAGCAGATTCTGGAAGATATGATCACTATTGATGTGTAAGGAGAATTTAGGGTAAAGTGCATTTCCTAATGGAAATTCAGCAATGTTTAGCACCAAAGTTGGGTTTTTAATGTATGTGCAAGAATGTTCGAAGTAGTAGCTTAAAGTCAAACTGATGTCCTATGATTCTACATAGATATTTCAACTTTTTTTTTTTTTTTTTTTAGAGACGGGGTTTCACCTCGTTGGTCAGGCTGCTTTCGAACTCCTAACCTCAGGTGATCCACCTGCCTCGGCCTCCCGAAGTGCTGGGATTACAGGTGTGAGCCACCACGCCCGGCCGGCATATTTCAACTTTTAACAGAAAATCTAACACATGACTTCAAGTCTGGAAATAGACTCAAAATAATATGGTTTAACAATTAACCGAGCTTAAAATTCTGAAAAGCAAAAGTGTTCCTCTCACATTTGTTTTGTGTGTTGTTTTTAAAAAAAAAAATGAGAGGAAATTTGCTATGTAGAGGGAATGTATCTTGTATGCCAGAGTGATTATCTTCATTTCTTTACCTGGTTCCCTTGTTTCATAATGTATTTAGCTTATAAGACATATAGAACTTGTCTTAGATATTCTTGGTAGTAATAAGAATTTTATAATTGTCCTTACAGAGAAAATATGATGGAGGACATTTGTAGTAAACTGCAAGAGATTAGGAACCCTATCCATGCCATTGGGCTACTTTTACGGGAAATGGATTATGAAACAGAAGTGGAAATGGAAAAGGGATTCAATCCAGGTAAATGACAGAGCAACAAATATGCCTCTTTGATTAAAACAATGATGCATTCAGCTCCATTTTTCTTCTCTTTACAGCTCAGCCTCTGAATATCCGAATGAATCTTTCCCAGCTCTATGGTAGTAGCACAGCAGGGTATATTGTGTGCAGAGCTGTGCATAAAATCGCCAGTACTCGTTTCCTAATCTGCCGAGACCTTTTGGTTTTACAGCAGCTGTTAATGAGGCTTGGAGATGCAGTAAGTACTGCTTGAGGGAAAACTCGTAAAATCTAAAACCTGGTATAGGCCTACAAGCACTTAGCAGCAAAATGTCAGCCCTACTAGCACAGATAGTTTTGTCCTGGTTCACTGCTGTGTTCCCCAAGCTTGGCTGTATGAGGTGCTCTATAAATATTTTTGAATTAACAATGAATAAGCATTTTAATCCTTTTGAGATTACAGATTAGGGGGTGTTGGGGAGGGAGAACATCAGGAAGAACAGCTAATGGATCCTGGGCTTAATACCTAGGTGATGGGTTGATCTCTGCAGCAAACCATCATGGCACATGTTTACCTATGTAACAAACCTGCACATCCTGCACATGTGCCCTGGAACTTAAAAGTTGATTTTTAAAAAACAAAGAACATATATGAAGCAGATTGCTTTACTCTCAACCTTTGTATGTGTAGTAGTGGGAAATTTTCCCAGGTTGGCTCTCCCAAAATGTAGTATTACTAGTAACTACGAATGTGATAAAAGTCCCTTTAGTATGGAAGAAGAAGAAGAAGAAAACTCTATTTCTTTTCTCTCTCTCTTTTTTTTTTTGAGACAGCATCTCACTCTGTCACCCAGGCTGGTGTGCCGTGGCCTGATCTCAGCTCACTGCAACCTTCGCCTCCTGAGTTCAAGCGATTCTCTTGTCTTAGCCCCCTGAGTAGCTGAGATTATATAGGCGCGTGCCACCACACCCAGCTAATTTTTGTGTCTTTTATAGAAACGGGGTTTCACCATTTTGGCCAGGTTGGTCTTGAACTCCTGACTTCAGGTGATCCACCCAGTCTTGAACTCCTGACCTCAGGTGATCCACCCACCTCAGCTTCCCAAAGTGCTGGGATTACAGGCGTGAGCCACCTCCCCTGGCCTAAGAATTCTCTACAGTTCGAGGCTTACCTTAAACACCGTTTTGAGCTGCAAGTTTTTCTTTGTGGTCCTCCTAACTCCTAACTCAGTTGATATAAAAATGTAATTTTTATATTTTTAGTAGAGATGAGATTTAGCCATGTTGCCCAGACTGGTCTCAAACTCCTGGCCTCAAGTGATCCACCTGCGTCAGTCTCCCAAATTGCCAGGATTATAGGTGTGAGCCACCGTGCCTAGCTGCTTTCTATACATCTTTAATTATATCTCTAGGATAAGTTCTAAGAACTAGAATTTGATTGGTCTGCAGGTTATGCACACTTTTAAGGCTTTTGGTAGTACTGCCAAATTTGCTTATAATGATCATACCTATTTTTACCCAACACCAGCAATATATGAGAGAACTTAGGTTTCCCTGTGTCTCTCTTTTTTTTTTTCTTTTTGAGACAAGATCTTACTTCTGTTGTGCCCAGGCTGAAGTGTAGTGGCTATATTTTGGCCCACTGCAGCCTTGATTTCCTGGGCTCAGTTGATCCTCCCGCATTAGCCTCCCAAGTACCTGGGACTACAGGCACATGCCACCAGGCCAGCTAATTTTTGTTTCTACTTTTAGTAGAGATGGGGTTTCACCATGTTGTCTAGTCTGGTCTTGAAATTTTGGGCTCAAGTGGTCTGCCTGCCTCAGCCTCCCAAAGTACTGGAATTATAGGTATGAGCCACCGTGCCCGATTCTCTTCTTTAATTCTGAACCCACAGTTTGTGTGTGTGTGTGTGTGTGTGTGTGTGTGTGTGTGTGTGTGTGTGTCTGTGTTTTGAGACAGAGTTTTACTCTTGTTGCCCAGGTTGTAGTGCAACAGCTCACTGCAATCTCTGCCTCCCAGATTCAAGTGATTCTCCTGCCTCAACCTCTCGAGTAGCTGGGATTACAGGAATGCGCCACCACACCTGGCTAATTTTGTACTTTTAGTAGAGATAGGGTTTCTCCATGTTGCTCAGACTGGTCTCAAATTCCTGACCTCAGGTGATCCGCCTGCCTCGGCCTCCCAAAGTCCTGGGATTACAGGCGTGGGCCACCATGGCTGGCTCTGAACCCACAGATTTAATGAAAGCTAAGCTTTTCGTTGTTGATTTCTTTTCACCATCAGCTTCCATTATTTGGTGGGCTGTTTTTGATTATTTTTGGACTTAATTTTTAGGAAGATATTTTGCCACTTGCTATCATAAAATGCAAAACATGTCGCTTTTACAGTATTGTAAACTTTGTATTTATTTTATTTTACTTCCACCTGAGCCATAAGAGTTACCATTACTAATTGCTATTATTTCTTGTCCTATCCACCCACCCATAATATATAGGTGATTTGGGGAGCTGGTCAGCTCTTTCAAGCTCAGCAAGACCTACTGCATCGAACAGCTCCTCTACTCTTATCTTACCACCTCATTAAGTGGGGAAGTGAGTGCTTGGCAACTGATGTTCCACTTGACACACTGTGAGTTTCATTATCCCAATTATTTCAAAAATATATTGCGAGTTTAATTATTTTTCCCATTGTCTTCAAGGGAAACAGTTTTTTTGTTTTTGTTTTTGACACAATCTCGCTCTCTGTCACCCAGGCTGGAGGGCAATGGCACAATCTTGGCTCACCACAACCTCAGCCTCCCAAGTGGATTACAGGCATCCGCCATCAAGCTCAACTAATTTTTGTACTTTAGTAGGGATGGGGTTTCACCATATTGGCCAGGCTGGTTTCAAACTCATGACCTCAGGTGATCCACCTGGACCTCCCAAAGTGCTGGGATGACAGGCATGAGCCACTGTGCCTGGCCGGGAAAAAGTGTTTTAACAGTATGCTGTGAAATTATATGCTGCTAAGATTCAGAGAGCTTTTTGGTGCTCTATTTGTTAGAGGTTGAAGGCAACTTATAAAAATGAAAATAATGAGCTACATGTAACCATAGACCATATATGTATGTATACAGATAGATTATATGTATACTTATATATTTGTATGTACAGACAAATCATGTTGAATGTAACATAATAAGATGAAACCAGAAGGAAAGACCATACACAAAAACATTATGCTAGTTATTTTAGGTAGGCTGAGTTTCTTTATAGCCAAATCCAAGAATTACAAGATTCACTTTTTATTTGTTTGTTTTTGAGATGGAGTTTCACTCTTGTTGCCCAGGCTGGAGTGCAATTGTGGGATCCCGGCTCACTGTAACCTCCACCTCCCTGGTTCAAACAATTTTCCTGCCTCAGCCTCCCGAGTAGCTGGTATTAGAGGCGCCCGCCACCACACCCAGCTAATATTTTATATTTTTAGAAGAGATGGCATTTCACCATGTTGGCCAAGCTGGTGTTGAACTCCTGACCTCAGGTGATCCACCTGCCTCGCCCTCGAAAAGTGCCGAGATTATAGGCGTGAGCCACCACACTTGGCCAAGGTTCACATTTTCTTTTTTTTCTTTTTTTTTTTTTTTGAGACGGAGTTTCACTCATGTTACCCAGGCTGGAGTGCAATGGCGCGA